TTAGAACGTTCTTACACCGTTCTAAGAACGTTCTAAGAACGTTCGTAAGGCATCCGTTTATCTTAAAACCATTCTTTGAAATTCTTTAGCATTCTTTGGGGCCCAGCAGTCTTAGGTATTCTCTTCCATTCTTTGGGGTGTTCTTATTCGTTCTTAGACCAACTTAGTGTTAAAGCATACTTAGCTGCTCTTTGGCCGGTTTTAACCATTCTTATCATAGGGTTGCTAAGTATGGCACTCGTTCTTAAGTCTCATTCTTAAGAAATAAAACCACTCTTTACCATTCTTTAGCATTCTTTAGGGCCAGCAGTCTTATGTATTCTTTTCGTTCTTTGGGGTGTTCTTATACATTCTTAGGCCAACTTATTCATTCTTTGCCTAAAGCATACTTAGCTGCTCTTTGGCCGGTTTTAACCGTTCTTACCATAGGTTCGCTAAGTATGGCACTCATTCTTAAGTCATATTCTCAGGAAATTCTTTTTGCTGCTTACATTCTTAAGCCTTAAAAAATGTGGGATTCTTAAGGGTCATGATGAAAATTCAAACACACGTTTCGACCTCTGCATTCTCACATGCACCTCTATTGGTAGGCGCCCTTTATTAGAGTATCCACATGTAGGTTATTCTTACATTGAAATCCATTTCGCGCATTGTATTGGAATCGAACCTAAGACTGCGATACTATTATACTATAATGTTTCCCTAAACCTATGCTGTAATAAACGACACCTCAACTTAAATTGTTGTCACAGCATCCAAAGGTTCTGTATCTATTCTAAAACGTGTGCGTATACTATGAGCTGCGCCAAGTGCCGTACACGAACATATGTGCGTGTACGACAAACAACTCAACACCTGTTCAGCAACTCAGCTATCAGCCCTGGCCCCTGTACAAAAACCTGGCGTGCAGCCTGACATGGCCACATACCTGCTGCAGCCCACTGCCCAACACCATCCCTGGCTGCTGCAGCTGCATGAAAAACAAGAGGCGCCCCGAGGCCACTGCCATGTTTAGCTGAATCCAAATGGAAGCATCCTTGCTTGCCATGGAGAGGCTGGCAGACTCATGTGTTTTCTACAAGCCCCCACAAGAAGATTTGGGGCTACTGAAACTGTAGCAGTCGCTCACTTGGGCGGACTACTGGCTTTGCGGAAGCGTGGAATTTAGAGTCCTCGCTGAGGCAGGGAGAAGTCCAACCCAGCAACAAGCACTAGCATACATAGACCCGTACGAAACAATCCGAGACAGCGGCAGCGGAGTCTTGAACTCTGAACACCAAGTAGTCATGATACTTAAGTGCCTCACCATGGCACCCCGCCCAGATAGCTTACATCTCGGCCTACCTGCCGGAGATTCCCTACTACGTTCCTGCCGTGATAGGATACTGTCGGTGTATCCTCAGGTGGCAGGTTGGTACAGGAGGGTATCCTCTGGTGGCAAGGTGGTACAGGAGGGTACCCTCCGGTGGCAAGGTGGTACAGGAGGGTATCCTCCGATGGCAGGGTGGTACAGGAGGGTACCCTCCGGTGGCAAGGTGGTACAGGAGGGTACCCTCCGGTGGCAAGGTGGTACAGGAGGGTACCCTCCGGTGGCAGGGTGGTACTGGAGGGTACCCTCCGGTGGCAAGGTGGTACAGGAGGGTACCCTCCAGTGGCAAGGTGGTACAGGAGGGTACCCTCCAGTGGCAAGGTGGTACTGGAGGGTACCCTCCGGTGGCAGGGTGGTACAGGAGGGTACCCTCCGGTGGCAAGGTGGTACAGGAGGGTACCCTCCGATGGCAGGGTGGTACAGGAGGGTACCCTCCGGCGGCAAGGTGGTACAGGAGGGTACCCTCCGGTGGCAAGGTGGTACAGGAGGGTACTCTCCGGTGGCAGGGTGGTACAGGAGGGTACCTTCCGGAGGCAAGGTGGTACATGTACAGGAGGATACTCTCCGGTGGCAGAGTGGTAC